CTTCTCTATCACCGTCCCTGCCCCGATTCTTCCCCTGTAGCCCCGGTCCCTGCCCTGCCATGCCCCTGCCCGGTGCAGTGCCGGCGTGAATGCCGGATCTGGCAGAACACACGGTGTCAGTTTTTGCCGGCTAATCAAGCCCAGTCCTCACACTCCTGACACCCTCTGTTTGTCCAACAAAACCACGAAAGCACGTCAGGGTTTTTGCAAACAGACCTTCCTGGGTGGTTTTTCAGTGATTTCAGCTTTCCAAAGTGCTGAATACTGCCCTGGGTGGCCCAACCAGCCTAGAAGTGGTATCAACTGTTCTCATACAATTTAATTTTTGTGATGCCCCTTACGTGTGGATTTCAAAGCAYTTGTACAAGAAAATTAGGCTGATCAAGACTGTACGGTCTGTCCAAAGGAGAACAAAAGACGAACTTGCACACATTCACACCTCGGGTTTCTGCTTGCTCCTGGTCCCTGATTTCTTTTGAATCCCAGCAGAAYGTTCCAGTGATTTCATTCCACTGCCTTCCAAGAGGAGGTGAAGCAGCAGCAGAGGCTGCCCAAAGAGGCTGCAGGACTTTCTTGAAGAGTCTCAGAACTTGACAAGGCACTGAGCAACTTGACTAACTTTAAACCCAGCCCTGCTTCAAAGAGGAAAGGAGATTATGGGCTCCACATGGCCTTTCCAACCTCAATTATACCTAAGATAAGGGAAATCGTCAGTATTGCAGGTAAAGGTTTACACCTGACATAYTTTAGCCACTTGAGACATATTTCAGGCCAGGATAATATGGATACTAACACCCATAAAATCAATAAATTTAGCTGATCCAGACCAGCTTGGAGTCCTTGGAAAAATACCTGGAGTRTGTAAGGGACTCCAATGTCCCCACTATGGACACCCCACCGCACTCTCAGCCAATAGTTCCACTGATACTCAACCCTGCTGCTAGTAACAGCTCCACTCAGAGACACCTTTTACAGATGCTTGAATATTTTAATAATAAAACAATAGCTGAAAACACTAGAAGATGTATTTGTCATATTATTGGCATCAYCTTTATTGCAAGTCTATCAGATTTTGGTTATCTTGTTTGTTTTTAAGCATTTATACTACATCATAGTGAAAACCTAGTATGAATACAATAACTAAACTTTTTCCATAATAAATTATTGATTCATTATTCCTTTATCAGAACAAGTAAAAAATTCAACTGAACTTCTAAGGCTGTCACTGAAAAATCAAGTTACCAAGGYTTTCACTAAAGCTTCCCACAAAAAAAAGTATAATTATCAGAAAATCTAATTTCTGCTCACTTACTTGAAAAATACACTAAAAAATTGTCCAATTGTAAATAGAAGCCAAGTTTTTTTCAATACCTATTTAGTACAACAGTGAGTACAGCATTTCTGTAACCATAAAAGATTTGCCTCCTACCAGCAGTTTAACCACACATTCACTGTTTTCTGTCACAGATACATTTTTCTGCACATGCAGCATATTTAATGCATGACAAAATATTTTACTTRCTTTAAACATTTCAATTATTAAGAGGATACAGATTCAGACACAAAAATATTAACACCAGTTTCAGACATAAAATGTTCATTTTAGCAATGTAACCTTTTCTTACAAAGGGCATAAAGCAACCTACAAAAAGTTAAATCAAAAGTTGCATAGATCAAATATTCAAGGTTAAATTAGGTTCCAAGCGAATGTAATTTTTACTGATAGAGATTTTGTTGCCTATGATAACATCACTTAAAGAAATTGTCAAATTATGGTAAATTAAGTGTACAAAGCATAACAATTCTGTCAGTTGTCACTGAARAACAGGAGTACAAGCCAACCTAAATTCTCTAAGGGCTCATGTTGTTCTGGCAATACCTCACTGTTACAAAGTCTATTCCTGAACATTCTGCARTGAAATCCAAAGCACTCTTAGATGATGTTATTGATGTCCTTTGTGGTTTTTTTTCATCTATAAAATGGAGATAAAAGAGACAATATCAAGATAAATGTTGCCCCCAAACACTGCACAATTATAGACCAGCTTTCAGTAGACAAGGGCTTGTCATTTAAATGCTCCCAAGGTCTCCAAAGCACAGAGCCATGTTTCTTGTGTGAGGGGTGCATGGATTAACTACTGGGAAACAGCTGGAGAGGCTGTCACAGACCTGCACCACAAAAGAGGCTGAACAGAGAAGAGCCCAACTTCCTGATAAACACAGGGATTAATTCAGTCATTGACAGACACTCTTACTCTCTTTGTACCCTGTCAGGTRGCACCTGGCAGGTACAAAGGTTCTCTGATATTTCCCTGGTTTAGATCTTTCTCTCCAAGCACCAGTCCTGATGGAATTACATGGGAGACCATTCTCATGGCACTGACACAAGGCACGATGCCATGGGCTGTGCATTTTGAAAGCCTGTCTTTATTTCTGCAGCTCAGTTCAGGAGCTAACAATGAAAACTGAGTTCACATCATTTCCAATTAGTAGAAAATGAAATTATGAGTACCTGCATCTGTAATCTGTAGTACTTCTTGGAAAGATCAACACTTGTCCGTCCTTTCTGGAAAGGGTAAGACCACAAAATCAAATTCCAGTGGTTGCCCATTTCTTTGACTCCTTTCAAAAGGCAGTTGATTTCTTCAGTTGTGAAATCTTTTCGGGTTCTTCTCTTTGTCAAGGGAGTCATGCTCACAGCCAGGGAATATACATCACTGCCCTATAAATAATTATTTTGGTGTCATTAAGTATTATGGAAATGTACGTACTATTTCACATGTGGAAGTAGCTTATTAGTGGCAACACAACATTTGGTACATGTTCAGAAATGGTCACACTGTTGAGGTAACAATGGCTCTTCAGGGTTTCTCCACCATCACCACTTATTGAAATACAGTATTTTCTGTGATCTTTGTTTCTGTTGTGCTTACATAGTTTACACTTTTTGTAGGTTTGTCCCTTTAGGTTTCTGTTAGTTCTATACTCTGCAAATTTTCATCAGCACAGAAAAAATCATACCTCAGATGCATCATTTTGAAAAGATGTCAGCTGAAAAATGCTGAACTCAATTCAGGGATAAATCCGTAYGACTGGAGTTGAGTCAATACAGAAATATTTTTTTAAACTAGGTTAATTTAATTACTGGTGATTAAAAAAGAAGTTAGGCAATTCATAGTGCTTTTATTCGGACATTTATAAATATGGAGTGTTTGATTAGGCTTTGCTTAACTAACCTCATCTTTGTCAAGTGAATGTGTGCTATTTTCTTCTAAGTGCTGACATTTCAGGCTGCACATCTCTTTGACTCTCTGTCTCTTCAGGTTAGCATCTTGGGTTTTTTGTAAAGCTAGGWAATTGTGAATAAGAAGGCCACTTAGTCACTTTAAACTAACTAAAATCTACTGAAAACCGAATATAGAGCTGTAAAGATTTTATTCTAATGAATCTGAGTATGTAAATGTTATTTTATTAGTAATACCTCATTCTTCTTAGATCTTTTTCTCATAATTGATATTTACACATAAGGACTACTCATGCATTGGAAGGAAATAGCAATTAATAGTATCACTGATGTTTGAGTGAATTTCTGTGACTGAAGGGAAAAGAGTTTATTGAAATTCACAGCCATTTATCTCCAACAGCAAGGGCAGGTGCTTCTCTCAATGCCCTGACCTAAATGCAAACACTGATCTTTCAGCTGCACATATTAGAAAATTGATTTTCTGGTAAGACTCACACTTTCCATATGCAGGTGTCAAGTTATAGTTGCTTGTCCACCTAGCATTTCTAYGATGTTCATCTCTCTCTGAAGTATGGTGTTTGTCTTTTCTACCTGGAGTCAAAAGAATACCTTAAAAGAAACCACAAACAATTAAAAATTACACATCCTTCTTAGGGAAAAAAAAAACAACCCAAAACCAAATCGCAAAACACAGGCTATGTTTCAGGAATTAAAATTTAAGAGAGAAGCTTTTGAGCTAYACCACTAATCTAGTCTTGGAAGAAAGACTGGAAATTCAGTTTGCTTCAGCTTACAGAAGATATTTACTTGCTAAAGGTAAGATATTGCTGTAATTGGTTTTCAAGATGAAATACATGAATTGCTTTGTTTRGTGGGTTGTTTAATTTAAAAATATCTTTGTGGCTATCACAAGACAAATGAATTAATTTCTGAATCAGAAGGGGAAAATATAAACCAATTTTAAAATCAACCTACTAGCTTTTACTGGGCATTAACTAAATAAAATAACCATATAAATAAGGCTTTTGAAAATAAAAGTACTAAAAATAAATTCCTGGTGGGAATTTCAAAATTCAAATTTCAAGTCTCTTTTYAAAAGAGAATGCATTTCAAAGGACTCCCCTTGTAGCTGTTTARCACAAACCTCAGGTCCTTAGCAGAGCTCCAAGCAGGAACAGGAAYGGATTTAATGGAATAACATGGCTGGAACTGTGTAATGGAGTGGTGCTGAACCCAGGAACAGAAAGCTGAACTCTACTCTGAGCCTGACTAGACCTCTCCATTTGAGAAATCAATGCCACAAAACTGAAATATAGCAAATGCCATGGAAATAACTCTGACATAATAATAACTCTGACAGGATTCAAAACAGAATCAACACAGCAAGAGCCAGATATTTGTAGTGAAATAATRTGTATTATACAGATTATTCTCAGAACCTAGCAGGGAAAAGAAAGGAAGGAAAAAATCCCAACATAATTTCTGTCCACAGCCTCCCATGGTAAAGTTCTGCAAATGAAGTAATAGAAAGCAACAGCTTTTTGCATTCATTTCCAAACCAAGGCCTTACTTTGGAAACTATCCTTTTTGCTCCCACAAGCTGATCCTTCTTTATGCAGCCTGTCTTTCTTCACTGGGGCCGGCAGTACTTCTGGAAAATATAAGATGAACACCAGTACAAATGCCTGTAAGTAATAACTGTTTAATTTTCAAAATTCTTCCTTTAAACCAGAAAAATATAAGATGTGCTTCTATTTAACYCATTAAGAATTTTATTTATCTTAGACCTGTAAGTGGGTAATATTAGAATGAAATTACCTTGTTATGATGTCATACATCTATTCACACTTATTTCAAATTAACACATTCCTTTCTCTTAGGACTTCACTACTTCTGGAACACAGGAGAGTCTCATCAAAGCCTATAATGAGCATCTGTCACCATGGCAAGAAATACACAAAATCCTCAAAACAAAGGTGGCCCGTTCTGATCTCACTCACTACAAATCCTTGTAAATCAAATTCCATGAGTGAGTTTAAAGATGCAGGACAATCAGAATCAGATCCAAAGAAGTTCAAACTTTTATAAGCAATTTAAAATGATGGTTCTAAGTACTGAAAAGAAAACTCCTTAATTACTCTGGTGAGCTGCAGATCTGCTGCTGATACCAGCAGCCATTTTGTAGAGCTCCCTTCGATATCTTTCCTCAGCTTCCAGGATGACTCTGTGATGGTCACACCGGTACAGGCAACTCCGTAACATATCAGTGAAGGTTTTACTGTTGCAGGACAGTCCTTCTGCTGTACAACCTGGGAAAAACAGGATACTGTAGAAATAGCAATCAGAGCTACTAAAGAAGCCACCACAAAGTTCAGTGTTTTATTTTGCTCACTCGGATCAATTTGACTTCAGGTCTTCATATTCATATCATTCTTATGTGCCTTCTTGAAAATACTTTGTATTTGCTCTCTTTAAAAAAATGTTTTCAATGTTTTATGGCATCAAGTAATATAACAATTGAACTCCAGAAGTACTGAACATAGCATGGATCCTTAGAGATTCCTTACAGAAGTCAAAATATTAATGGGACAGGAAGACAGGTGCCTCAGTTCCATTTACACAGTTATCCAAGAGCCTATATATATATATATATATATATATATATATATATATATATATATATGTATAAAAATACACACTGTATACTATGTACCATATATATATATATAAACTTTGTGTTGTAACAGTACCTGTATTAACCTGGATCAATGCTTAGTCTAGCTTAGACATGAATTCCCTCCCAGGAAGGCTTCCTGTTTATTTTTGAGCACCCTCCTAGGGTAATTTCTGGTTTAGTTATTCTTGGATGCTCTCACAATTMAGTTACATCAGCTGAAGGAGAACTTGCATGAGGAATCATAGAAGGGCACAAGTTCATATCTGAAACATTCTACCATAAGATAAAGCAGTGCTAAAGCTCAGGTTGAATTTAGTTTGACAATTTGGATAAAAATAATTTTCAGAGGTGGATTTGTGGGCTGCTTTGGTGTTTGCTTGGGGTTTTGTGAGTTTTCATTGTTGTTTTGTTGGATTTTTTTTTAATAAATATTGGCTTGATTAAAAAATTCATGCACAAACCCTGAGTACCAGCAGCATTCCTATGACCTACTGATGGAGCATGTTGAGGAAGTAGAACCTGGGGTAACTGAGGGCTGCAGTCATGGATTACCATAAAACTGCCTGCCTGTATTTAATAGCAGGGAGGCAGGGAACAGAAGGGCTACAGAACAGTTAGGAGGCTTAGCAGGAGAATAAATGAGGAAAATGGCAGGGCTATATCCTCCACCTTTACAATCAGAGAGAGGAGGAAAACACAGCTCAAGTATTCTAATTATTGRGTCATCTTTAAAGCTACTTTATGTTCTGTTTGTTAGCAAACCCACATTATTACATGGACCAAAACTGCACTATGTCAGCTTWATTTCAATATTTATAATTTATTTTTGAGGTAGAAAAAAGAAAGGAAAGGAAGCAGGTCAGGTTTTATCATTACGTAATAGGTAATAGAACAGATGTGTTACAATTTCTGTAAAGTCAATCCCCTTACTGCATTGCTGACTCTTTAAGGCTTCTTCTGTAGTCTGGAAATAAAGRCCTAAGATGATATTTACCTAAACACCTTAAATCTGCCATTTTCTGGGATGAAGATGTAGCTGAAGTACTTCTGGCTTTTTCCRTTTTCTCTGAGCAGAATGTATGTCGATCTAAATGGGGGAGGCAAAAAGTCACTAAGAAAATGTAACCTCTCTTTTGCCATGGTAATCATGCATCAGCTTATTTACATTCAGCTGCATTTTCTATTTGCAGATTATTAAACTTTTATTAACATAACAGCAGAAAATTTAAATTAAATTCCTCAAGTTAAATGCATCACATTTACATTTTTGTAATTCCAGAAAAACCATATTCAATTCAGTGTTTTTTCATCACTCTGCCAAAGAAAATTACTTCAGTTTGAATCCAGCAAATTAGCCCCGTAAACCCTATTGCTTATCTAATCCCTAAAAACTTTATTTCTGTTTGGAACCAGATGCTGAAAAATATGAAGTCCTGGAATAATACATACTCTCAGTATCAATAGGGTTAACCTAGAGATCAGCTTGTCACCTTTAAAGCTCACATTCTGGCAAATTCTAATCTAATGAATACTTGTTAATTTTATAAAGCAACAGGAAACTAAACAATGAACAAAAATTTTATTGAACAGATCCCGGTTTTGAAATAAATGTATCAGACTTAGATAAATGTAAATCTAAAAAACGTTTCTATTAAACACATGTTCAACCTGGAGGAGCAGCATCAGACAAATGTCAGWCTCACAGGCAGGTTCTATCCTCAGCCTTACAGGCACAGGGCCAGACCTGCATTTTCMTTTTGCTGCTTTCACTGGTCAGTACAGATTAAAGACTAAGCTTAATCTCTACATTCATTTGAAYAGTTAAAATCAATTTAATAAAAAGAACACTAAAATATGTGTTAGAAGAAAAGCAGAATGAATGTTCTGGAAAAATTGTGCACAATATAAAATTCCAACACTATTCAAACTAGTTAAAGGGAATTACACATAATGCACTCTCTGTCATTTAATGATACATAACAAGTGATAAAAAGTAGTGATAAAAGTACACAAAACCAATTAAAATCTCATTAAGAACAAAATCAGCTAAGAAAGGAGTATGTATAGATATTTGTACCTGATGTGCATGACTGCCTCATATTTCTAACAGTCTCTGCTGGTTGTTTAAATACCTGTTCACTGAGAAGGTCAAAATGTGAACAAATTAAAAACTAAAATGTCACAAGTTACATTTRCCTGTAAATGAATACACACATTCCAAGGGCACAACAAAAATACATATTAAATATATAAAAGATAAAACTCTGAGAAAATTATTCTAATTAACCCAAGTTACTGGACTTATGGCACCCAGCAAGTAATCACTGCATGTTAAAACCTGTTACCAGAGATCTGAYTGGCATTCCTTTCAGTCTGTTCAGCAGGGAATGCAGACCATTCAAGGGGTGCTGGTTTCCMGAGTAATTTGAATTCTAATTTACAGAAAGATTATTTAGTGCACATAAAGCTTTCACAAAGCTTTCAAAATGCTGTAGCCCTCACTATTTGTAGCAAAAGCTCTAAAAGATAATTACTTTTCTTCTTTTCTTACACTGATTAACTTCTGTGCAACCAACACACTGTTATGATACCCTGATTGAGCATTTTTGTGTCACTGACTCCCTCTGAAAGCTGCAGGAGCAAGGAGACTGATCCACRGTTACCTTTCAGTAACTCCTGTGTTCACACAAATATATAAAAATATATATAAAGAGGGTGGGTTTTTTTTATGATGTCTTAATAGTTTTGTGCTTCAGAGCCCAGAACAACAAATCAAGAAACTGTGAAATTATGCTAACCAGTAGCAAAGCAAACTTTACCTGAATGTACTCTAGAAAATATCCAGGCTCAACGAATGACTAAACAGGGCTGTTCCTTTTTCTTCCCATGCAGGGAAGCAATGGAATATAAGGGGAGAAAAGCAGAGGTGCAGAAACTTCTTTCCCTATTTAGCAAACACTACAAAATTTTTCTGAGCAGTTCTCTACCTTGCAGTAGAGCAGTTGTTTTYCTTGTAACTGCACATTACAGAAATCATGGTGGTTTGGTCCAAACCAACAGGCCAAATCTTGATCTGTTACATCAGTGAGAACTTTGGGGCAAAAGCCATGGATGGTTTTCACCACTGTGCTGAAGGCACTCAGACAGGTCCTAGAAGAGGCTCTTTGTACAACACCACCACCCAGAGAAAGAGATCAGGAGCTTTTGTTACTACAACAYCTATAAACTTTGATCTGTGATCTCAAAAACACATCCACAGAATATTCTCTAGTGGGCTACCTAAAGGCTATATCTTTYCTCTAGAAGAAAAAGATAGAATTAGATAACTTAAAAGGCTGATATTCAGCTTGAAAATTGCTAAAGGAAAACARTATTTCTGCTGAGGTATAAGATTCTTACCCTGCTTGAAGACCAGATGGATTTTTTACACAAGCAGTTTTTCCATTTATACTGTGACTTCGAGATCCACTGTCTGTTTGCAGCTCATGAACTGAACATGGAATCTTCCTCTGTTCAGTTTGTCTGGCAGAAGCTGCATCCACAGTGCTCACTGTTTCATTTCTTCGTGGAGCAGAACTTACAGATGGAGCAAGAACCTGATCATTCAACTTTGAGGCCAACTGTGGGCAATATAYTTGTCCATGTGCTCTTTCTATGTACATTTTTGGATCAGCAGGATTTACTTCACAGGATTTTAATGCTCCAGAGTTGGCTACTGAAGATTCATCTACAAGTATTTCTCCTTGCAATCTTTCCTGTATTGAAAAATACTGGTTAGTAACTATATGAGCTCTATAAAAATGTTAAATCTAGTAACAGGATTGACTAGATAGACTAATCTAAATCTGAGGGTAAAGCAAATTCCAGAGAAGCTTCAGAAAAAGCCTTGACTGAGCTGAGAGCCAACAAGAATGCTACTGAAGGTGCAGAAGGGGTGTTTATTAAGTGCTAATTTCAGGCTGAARCAATGAATTTGCTACTAATGCAAGGCACTGTTGGAACTTAACAGCCACTTAAATAACTCATAAATTTGCTGTCCCAAACTCACAGATACTTTGCAACTTTARAGCACAAGGAAAATTTGAAACAACTTTATCTCAGCTTATGTTCACATTCTCCTTTATCATCTATCCCACCACAGCTCTACAACCCTGAGCATTTCATCCATGCAAATATTAAAATTACAGGATTGAATGTCCAGCAATTAAAAATAAATTCAACTTCTCCTSTATCTTATAGAAAATCTGATTTCATAATAAACTAGAATACTTCATAAAATACAGWTGCCTTCATTCTCTGCACAGATGTAACTTGGTCTTTTCTACAATAATGACAAAAGTTGAAGGTTGTAGTTTCACAAACATCCAATGTTTTTCCTGTTATTTTTGCTCACATWGAAATTATCTTAGGAGTTTTCTTTTTCTTTCTCCCTAAATGCTGGAAAGATGTGATTAGCTTTATCCTGTTTTGGTAAATAGGCCAACCTCATCATGCTCTTTTTCAATCGAGTTTATTCTGTGTAAAATCTCTTTTGCTTTCTTCCAGTAGTCTTGGAGACATCCTTTTCTGACTTGCACGTCCAGTTCTTCTGTGTTGTTCACATTTAATGAGTTACCATATAATTTCAGAGACAACTGTTCAGCTTTATAAAATATAGAATATTAATATTTAGAACATTATCAATTAATATTTTAAAAGAACTTMTTATATTTTATTATGATGAGGAACAGCCCAAATAAATTAATGCAAAATATAATCTTCAAATAATAATTTTAATGAAGTATTATACATTAATATTAACACACTTGAAATATAAGCTGCAGTCACAAGAGGTGAGCTTGCAGTTGTGGTTACTATATACTGTTTGCACAGTGATGCTGAGAAAAAAAATTACTTTTCCATTGACTTAATCCTAACTTTAGGGGTTCTTTACCACTATGACTATTTGCTTTTTACAAAACAGTTCCATATTATGGAGTCTAAAAGTCCCCACACACCCTCAATCTTAAATAAACCTCTCAGTTACACTTTAACCATAAAAATGTAGATACAGGTTTGTTTTTTCCTAATTAGCAGTTGTACACCCTCCATGCTGTAGAATTAGAAGACAAGGTCTCTCTGTTTCCTTGGTGGTATTGTAGAGATAATTAATAGAAAACTAAAATAGAGGACCCAAAAATACACCCTACTTCAGAAAAAAAAAATCAAGATTTCTTAATATTAGAAACTAAGGTATCCACAGTGATTTCAGATTTGATTATCTACCGGTTTCTTCTCTCTCTGTAGAGGTACATCCCCAGGAGGAGAGTATCCATTGGGTATTAAATGACAATGTTAGCATTTTCCACAGATTTTTAGATGGGGAATCTTTTAAGAACTGGCCTTACATGGACAGGTTTCACAGATGCATTATTGGAATATTGTTGGAATTTTTACTTTTTTTCTGCCAAAATCAGTCCTTGATGGCAAATAGACAACTTTCTCTGCCGAAAACAAACATTTCTTGGAGTACACAGAATTACAAAGCTGCCACAGTTAAAACCACAAAGGAAATCAGCAGAGTACAGAGATGGAAATAATCAGTGCCATTTTAAAAGCATTAACAGCAAGCTTACTCATTTGTTTGCAGTTCTGCAGCACAAAAGTAGCAGCTTTGATGAGTTCCTCATCCTGAGATTCTGTCAGTGCCTGGATCATAAGTGGCAGACCATTGTTCTGAACCAATTCACACTGGTTTTCTTCTAGAACAGGACGTGGTGAAGGAAAATAGCTAGGTTTGAGCCTCAGACACCTTGACCTTACAGCAATTTTAGGAACTAACACTAGCAACTTTCTCTAAGTTTCTGTAGAAAAACAATTTTCATTACAGACCTGAGCCTGCTGCAATGACCCAAAACCCAGCAGGAGAGCTCTACATCACACAGGATGATTTGACCAGAACTCAGATTTCTGTGAGGAAACTGAAGGGTGACTGAGACAAATTATATGATCGAGTTCCAAAGTCATTTAATTGTAGCCTAAAATATTCAAATAAAGACTTCTGTATTTCTTTTCTTCYATTAAATACTCTTGAAGTAGATACTGTATATTTCTGTAAGCCCTGAGATGCAGAAATATCAAAATCCTAAGTTTAAAATTAGCAAAACTRTAATAAAATTAGTAATTTAATCCTTGTCTAGCCAATCTTTTCYTCCTTATTTACTAAGTAATTAGCTAATTTTTTATTGTGATCTCATTTGCATATTTATTCATAAAACTGATAACTTGCTAAAAATAGTTCTTTTTTCCTCTTAAAAATTTAAATGTCAACCTTTAAACGTCAGAAATTTAAATGTCAAACAGTGCTGACATTTTAAAAAAAAACTTTTTTTGTTGGTTTAATTGTATTTCTATTCAAAACACATTTTCCACTAAGACTTGTTTCAATTAATTCTTCATGAAAAAAGTCTTTAAAAATAGATTTATGACCTAYTGAGCTAATTATTGAACATGTTATTGGCATTCAGAGGATAATAATGAGAATTTCTGAACATAAACCCCTTTTCTCAATTATCTGAACATACATGAGAAAAAAACAGTAGTACAAATGAACCTCTATGTCTATTTGCTTGTGCAACCATAAAACACCAACTGAAGTGTTATATTTTTACCAGATATGCATAGGGAAGCCCTGAGGAACACCACAAAAACATTTCAGAGCTACCTACTGCTTATATTACTTCAAAACCAATGTATTACATGGCTTTTACAAATATTCCTAGCCTTGTAAGCAGTGGCAGAAGTTGTATGTAGCCAACACCATTAAAAAAAAGCTCAAGACAACTCAAATGTTATGTCTGGATTGCAGCAGTTTTCAGGTCTGGATTAATTTTACCCTGTGATCCCTAAGCCCAGCTCTGGATTCTTCCATAACAGTTACTTTTTCAAAGGACTACCTGCTAACAAGATATAAATTTTCAAGATGGAACATAATAGAAGACTTTTTTTTTTCTGAGTATTAACATAATATTATATAGTAGAACTCTCCCTCATGTTCCAGTCTTGATGAAGTGACACCACTGGAGGARTTAGTGTATGAGAACTTAGAAGAAGCTTACAGAAAGAAAAAAGAAAAAGTACATCTTACCACAAACTTCAGTGCAGTGTCCAAGTGTTAGAATAATACTGACTTTTTCTCCTGTGTTCAGTGTCTCATTGGACAGCAGCTTCAGCAGCTCTGACACRGTGTGATACTTTGCCAAAACAACACCCATGGCAGCTGTTCGTTAAAGACACAAAAATAAACCAGATAATAAGTGTATGGGCATCATCCAGTTATAAAATGCTGCTCTTTCAGGGAACTCTACAGACTCCTCAAAGCCTTGGGCCTGCACAGCCCTGCTCTGCTCAGAGAGCCTTTAACACTTCAAACAGCCACATACCCCCTGTGCTGCTCCCAAATGCAGCCCTGCCCTTCCTCCYACACTGTGCTCCATGGAGATGAGGCAGAAGATCTGATAAACAAGGACTTTGCACTCCACAAGCTTTGGACATTCCTGCTGAGTTTCTCAACATCGGTATAGAGCAAGACTGAGTTGAATAAGACTTGACACAGAGTATCTGCCACAAAAAGTGCAGAGGGCAAGCCCTTCCTGAACCTGGGAACACCACTGCTAGTCCATCCATGCTGAGACCTCATCCCGTCATGCACCAACCTGCTTGAAACTACACTCAAAACCAGTGCAGGTTGATGCTTTCAAACTTTTGTGAACTCCCATTTGAAGCCCTTATGGCAGAAGCATCAGATATAACAACCATGGCCACAGCACAGGTTCATCAGGATCACAGATTTCTCCAGACCTTCTGATGGATTACAGGAGACCTCATTAGGGGAGCACTACCCAGCAGCAAATCAGAGCAGAGGTGTGTTGTGCAGAAATACCACATTTATTCAGCTCCACCTCTGAGATACTAAAGCTTCCTAAAGCTACAAAATGTATTATTTAGGCATAGGCCCAAATCCAGGACCCAAATTGCCTGCCAGATCCAGTGCTCAGCTTTACTTACCCAGGACAAGCTGTAGCATCTTATTTTTAATTTTCAGTAGGGTTTAAAATTCACTGTTTGTTTTAGCAACGATGGGAAAGTAATCCACCTCAGATGATCTGAATCACTCCCCATTTACACCTCTGAATTTTAAAAAACTCTGCAATATCCACTGGGATGCATATAACTTAATTGCCTTTTAGCATCCATTTATATAACTTTTCCACCAACATGAGACTTTGAAAATTGCATTTTAACATTACTATAGATAAAAAATATCTTTTCACTCACAGTAATTAGCAATGCAGGCATCCAGAGTCTTTGTTACTACCACTGCAAGTTTTGCGCTGCTGTGACTCGAACAGGAATCATGCATAAGCTCAAGGAGAACTTTGGCTAATGTATCCAATCCTCCAATAGAAACAAAATATTTCTGCACATATGCTTAGTGAAAAAAAGAGAAAATGTGTTCTAAGCAATAAAGTTCGCAAATTATTTTAGTATTTCACCGAGTAAGTTCATCACAGCTTTTCTGTGCATGTATTAGTTATTAAATTCCTTAGACAACAGAAGCTGGACACATATTAATCTCAAGAAATGTCATAACTGCACATAAAATAGGTCCTGGAAACAATGAACCTAATATACAAATGTCAAACATTCTGCCCAAGTTCTACCTAAGTCATTGTTTTCAGTCATGCAATAATGACTTTTATTTAGAAAACACTTTTAATCAAAAYAGCTCGCAAATAGTTTTTAATGACCATATGAAATATAACCAGTTTGTGGCTAACKGAGGATTTAAGCACAGTGTAGTCTAAGTAAAGATGGTGGAACACAGCTGTAAAAGTTGGAAGAATAGCAAATGAGTTTCTAGAGACTGACAAGAAAGAAAGAAACATTTAACTCTCTAATTAAGATGTTTATAACAAATYGCAAAACATGTAAAGCTTGAGCTGCACTTACAGTTATTTGCAACTGTGAGACTCAGAAATGAACAAATGGGACGAACTATCTCAGGCTTTATGCAATTCTCAAGCCACTTTCTGGCAAAGGGAAAAACTGAACAGCAAATGTTTTGATTATCTTCTGGAAAAATAAGAACAAAGAATCCCAAATCAAAGAGTAATGAAATGAAATTTCAGCTGAACAGGAAAAATGGAATCAAAGTATTGTCAATTTGGAGAATAAATTTAAACTTCCTTCACGATTTTTAGAGCAACACATACCATTCTGAGGGTTGTTCACACAGGCACAGAGAGTGCTGCACACTGAAGACCAGAGCTGATAGCAGGGATCAGTATTTTCATCTGACAGATCCTCCTCAGAGGTGGAGAGAGTTGTTCTGTTAAGGACAATRCAAACAAATCCCAGATAGTCAAGGAAACAGAACTCCTAATCAGTCCATTCTTTGCCTGTTTGAATTGCAACTATTTGTGTACCTGAATAACTGCAGCAGCAGGCTGATGCAGCCTGTATCTCTGACATAGGTTTGCCCATCTTCTAAAAGAGAACACACACAAGACTTCTGAGACAAATGCAATTGGAGACAAAATCTTAACATCAGTTTACATACATACATTTCTTAAGCCCATATCCTCCCCAAAAGTAAACACAAAATCACATCTACATATTGGTAAAAACATCTTTCTATGTCTGTTTTTTCTATACACTCRCAGAAACTACAGGTTTGCATTTGCAAACTATATTTTTAGAACTAAACCACATTCTGCTCTTTAAGGAAATCCCAGTGAGTTATGACCTACTTAAACAATTCAGGTTCAGTTACATGCAAGCATGCATCTTCATAAATTAACAAAACTTTACTTATTAAATGTTCCAAATTTTGTATTACAGATTGGCAAATAGAAAAAGAGTGTTGTTTTAACACAGAAAAGAAGCCAACTTACTATTATTTGAAACCAGTACTAAAATGACATAAACAGACATTCTTTTCAAGTTCACACCAGAATCCTTTTTCATTAAATATAAAATGAGGTCTTCAAATAATGCAGAAGTACACAAAGTCTGTTGACAATACACTGAAAACAGAAAGTGAAAACCATTAAGTCCTAAAGCCAGCCATTAATAATCCCAAATTGTTAAGTGTCAGTTGTGGCCAGTCTGTGGGGAGTGGAGACAAAACAGGACTAATGGGACTGTGAAGTGACTGAGGCTTCCCCCTACAGTGAGTTCTACACCAACCAGGACCTTGGCAAGCTTTGGAACAATCTATAGAACGTTTAACTCTTGCTGCTTAGGAAGAAGGGAAGTACAGGTGCCTGGTAACTTAAAGAGATGCTGTGTGCACAAATCAACAAGGTATTAATCGAATCCAGGTATGGACAATGGAACTGGGGCACCCTTTATTGTCCCCTATATTGCTCCAACTGGCAATCTTGTAGTCTTATATTGTGAGACCACAAAAAATGGAGACAAAGCACAAGCACAAATAAGGACAGGGGGTTATAACTAGCTCAGAAATATAAAAAATATTATTTCTGCTTACCATTACTCTCTATAATAATCCCCAATGTAAATAAAGCTGCTTCCTTTACTATGCAGTGAACACTCGACTTGGCAAGGTCATTTATAAACATCAAACCACCAATTTCTCGCAAGTATTCGCTTGCTTCACCTGCAAGAGAATAAACCAAAAATTTTTGCTTTTGTTTACTTGCAAAATGAAAGCCTTCAAAAMTTTTACAACATCTCAAGCCTTATATTCTTTACACAACATATTTGCATTGATCACCAGCTTCCCAACATACCTGGTGAACTTAAATGACTACACGGTTTCTAAGGAAAAACATTTCTTACTGTTTTGTTGACAAATGGAATAGATAGTGATCAAAGCCTCTTTCTGAGACAGAGGGCAGTCCATCTGATATTTAAGGCATTCAAGCAGTAAATTCAGATCTGTTTTCACATCTAAGAGGAAACACAAAAMTGTCATTAAAATGGTTATATTTTCTGTATATTAATCTATTCAATATTAAAATAAAACAGTCCAAAATGTAGTATGTACATGTATTTAAAAAGGAGGGGAAATAGTGAGCCAAAGTGGAGCTACATCACTTCTATTCACCCATAAACAACAAACATACTTAACCTAGAAATATTCCTGTCCATAGTTTGTTATTTAAGTGTGATTTCTTCTGTCAGAGTAACAGCCTCTCTTTATTTCTGGCCTTTAATTACCAATAAGTTAGTAAGTGTGATATAAACTGCTAACTATTAAATTCACAACTGCTAGGTGCATTAAGTGTAAAGTTAAAGTATTCAGAGTGAAAATACAGTTTGAAATTTACAGAGTAGTAAGGAAAGAGTCCAACAGTACAAGGCTGCTTCACGGTACTGAGTTACAGGAGAYATAATCAAGCACCACAACAGTAGAACCTTCAATCAGGTGGTTAGAGAGGTAACACAAAATATTCTCTGGGCACCTACATACAACCCTAGGTGGGTAAACAAACTTGCAAAATCTGTTTCTTATTCTTTGGAGTATAATCGAAAGATTTACTTGATAATTATTTGTAATAGTACACAGCAGGTATTGTATATTGTAAACTCTTGTGAAGTTTGGGGTTTCTTAAATAAGTTAAAATACAATAGAAATGAGGATAAACATTAGCAAATTAAAAAACAGAAGTGACTTTGTGGTGGTATGCTTCACTACTTTAAAGTTTGTCATTGGATTTAGCCTTTATGTATCCAATACAGTATGCCAAAATTTGGCAACCAGGAAAAAGAACATTTTCCCAACACCTCACCACCCCATGACAGGCCTATCACAGTCTACTAAAYCTTTGTAAAATTGATGCAAATCATGACGAATTATATCTTACCACACTGATTTTTCTGCATGTTTTGAATGCTCATTTTTGTTTTATCTCTGTCTTGTTCTGTAACAGCAAGGAAAAAGTGATTTTGTTTCTGTTCAGACTAGYAGTATTTATAACACATGCAGTATAAATCACATAATTTCTCTTAAAATGCACTCTTTCCAGTATCATGCCTTTACTCTATCATCTTTCACACACACAGAGTTTAATGTATTATTGCATGGCAAATAATTTCCAAATATTTGGAAATTTCCAAAATATTTGGAAAYATTTTATTGCAGTATTTTATAATAACACTGCATTTGTATCTACTGGGCTATCATCCTTTGAAAGTGGACATTTTGCAGAAATTGAGGCATTCCATGTTACCATTGAGGGGCACTGTCAACATCCCTGTCAGTAAAGAATATCCCCTGCTCTGTGGCCCTGATCATAATGAAGCTGATCCAGTTTTCCTCACAATAGTGAGGCCAACATTGCCATCAGCCAGCAACTGGCACTAAGACCAAGGAATGTCACTTAGGGGGTGAACACTACAAAACACTCAGCCTCCTACTGCTCAGTGAATCACTAAACCATCAGCGTTGTGCTAGTGGTACTGACCAAACCAAAGACAATGAGCTCAAACTGAGACATTATTCCTTAAACTAAGAATTTATTTTAATTCACCAAAGACATTTCACATTACATGAACCATGTAACCCACAAAACCCCACAGCATTGATTCTTCACAAACCCACTGTGGCAGCCTCTGAGAGTTGAGCAGCAGAGTGACATTCAGGTTTGGAGGCAGAAAAGATGATCCCTCAAACGTGCCCCAAGTTCCAAACACAAAGGGTTTATGTAAGCATCACAGTAACTAATTGTAATTTCTCAAATAGTTACTTAGCTCCAGGTAGAAACTTTAAATCAATGGTGAATCCAGATTAATAATGGATTAGTTTTCCTTCTCAAAGTGGAGCGAAGGCTCTAAGCAGTATCAGTGTCATCTTAATGAAGACAGCCAGCCCTGCTTTCTGTTTAGTTATTGATTGTCCCCATTCCTTTACAASTTCCATTAGAGAGGGGAAAATTTAGAGTTCATCTCCCTTTAGCCTTTCAGAAGYGATAATTTCATTTTCCAGTAAATCCAACCCTGCCACAACAGGGAAAGCTTGCAAGCCTTCCTCACCTTTTTTCCCTACTGCTATCACCCTGCCAGCCTAAGAGAAAACAAGAACCATGCCAGCAAGAGGAAGGCTATAAAAATGAGTTCACTCTGGAGCAAATTGCATTTCTGAAGAGTTTAATTTAATACATGTTTATACAATTATACAATATGGTTTTAAAACTGTATACAAGGATAGCTCTTGACCTTACCTGTATCTTTTATTTTTCCAACCTACACAGGGTACAAAAAATAGTATTTATAAACCAGCCTACATTAATTAGATGCAAATAGCTCACCTCTATTGTGGCATCACAGGGCAAAGGTGGAAAGACAAGCAACTAGATTTGCTTCAACAAACATCTGGCAAATATTACATATAAAACAGATTACCTCTTCTTCAGTTAAGGAAAATAACGCMGTAACAGCCCTTCAAACCTCAAAAATCACTCCTAAAGAAGTGTAGATCTGTCAATGTATGTTTTCACCAGTACTAAAGCACATGGCTGGTAYGGTCAGCAGATCTGACAGCCTCGGTGATATTTACCCTTTGAAACCCAGGGACCAAACCCCACAATCAGGAGAAGTCCGGATTGTTGGCGTCCTGTGGAAAGCAAACCCCCCAGCAGCAGCTGAGGCCGTGAGGACGCCATGGTGTGGAACAGGACTGGGAGGTGTTCTGGCCTAGTTCAGCTCCCTCCCACTCCTCCCTCACATGAGCCGTGTGTGATTTACAGCTCATTATCAGAGCTCCACTTTGAAGTTTTAGCAAGCTCTCCAGAGCAGCCCAAATATAAAAAGGAAAGAATATAACAAAAAAATTAAAAATAAGGGGGGTGGGGGAGGGCAACAGTCTAAAGATGAAACAGCAGCTGCRTTCTGTGGGAGGGCTGGGGAGAACCGAAGGGGTGGGAAATGGGGCTCTGCTCAGGTACCTGAGATCCGGCAGCGCGGATGTCTCCGGGCAGACCCCGAGGCGAGGCCGGTCCCGGCTGGGAGCGCTGTCCGCCGGGCTGAGGGGAGGGAGCTCCGGGCTGAGAGGCGGCGGGGGCCCCTGAGGGCTGAGGAGTGGGAGCTCCGGTCTGAGGGGCAGCGAGGGCCCCAGAGCGCTGAGGGCTGGGAGCTGTGGGCTGAGGGCTGGGAGCTGTGGGCTGAGGGCTGGGAGCTCCGGGCTGAGGAGTGGGAGCTCCGGGCTGAGAGCTGTGGGCTGAGGGGCAGCGGGAGCCCCAGAGCGCTGAGGGGAGCGCCCACCCTGCCCCAGCCTCTCAGGAGCGGCCGCAGCCGCGGCGCCGCCCGAGCACCTCAAGGCGAGGCCGCCCTCAGGCTTAGGACAGCCCTGAGCCTTCCCCTCAGGCAGGCGGGAATCATTTGGAATCGTGGAATCGTGAAGCGGGGGAAGAGATCTCTAAGAGCATCCAGTTCGACGTTAGCCCAGTACTGCCACTGCAAACCCTAAACCACTAAACCATTTCCCAGTGCCAGATCCAGAGGCCTCTTTAACACCTCCAGGGACGGTGACTCCACCAGCTCCCTTGCGAACCTATTGCCAGGCCTGAACACCTGAAGAGTAAAAAAAATTTTTATGAAAYCTAATCTGAATTTCCACTCCCAACCTGAGGCCATTTSCTCTGGTTCTCACTGCAAACACAGCAGAGACCAGGCCCCASCTCACTGCATACTCTCAGCAGGGAGCTGAAGTCCCTCACGAGCCTCCTCCAGACTGAACAAACCAGCTCCCTCATCTAATCTGGGTAAGACGTTCTTTGGACCCTTCATGAGCCTTGCTGCCCTTCTCCAGACACACTGCAGCCCCTCAGTGTCCTTTTTCACATGAGGGGCCCAGAGCTGGACACAGCACTCGAGGTGTGGCCTCAGCAGTGCCCAGCACAGAGGGACAATCCCTGTCCTGGTTGCTGCCCACACTACTGCTGATACAGACCAGGGGCCATTATCCTCTTGCCCATTCAGGTACACGCTGGTTCCTACTGAACCAGCTGGTGACCTCCAGAACGTGACACTCGACCTTGTGGAACCTCACATCACCGTCCTCAACCCATTGATGGAGTCTGTCCCACTCTCACTGCAGAGCCTTCCTGTCCTCCAGCAGATCCACACTCCCACAAACTACTGAGGGTGCTCTCAATTCCCACACACAAATCAATACACACATTAAACAGGACCAGACCCAGAACAGAGTCCTGCAGAAGACRTTTCAATGCAGCTCACACTTTGCAGTTCATGTTTGCACAGTTTGGAGGCTGTAATGCCCCTCAACAGGAAGAACTGCCATTGCTTGGCACTGGCCACACACAACAGTGTGGGRAAAAAAAATACTTCTGCTGGGTGAATAGAGCTGACAGAACCAAGCTTTCAGGCACACACTCTTTCCCTAATCCTCCCCAACTCAATAAAAGGTATTTCAGCTTCCACTTCTCACCACTGGATCCTCAGATCATCAGAGCTCCATCACCCTCTCTCACCCTTTTACACCTTCTCTGCTCTCAAGCTGATGGGCAGCTTTTACAAAATACTCAGTTCTGCTGCAAACCAGATAAGCCAATTTGTAAATGMAACTTACCCTGCCAAAAATAGCTGCTGCCTTTTTCTTTCAAAGGTAAATCAGAAAATTCTAGATTTAAAAAAATTGTCCGGACATGGTATGATTTTATTTTTCCTCAGGAAACAGCAACAAAAAGAAGATAATTAAAAATGAAGGAACCTTAATTAACAGGTAATACGTTACAGAACAGTCCAGTCAGTGGCAGAACACCACAGTATTTACAGAACTGTAAATACAGTAAAATCTGTAAATACAGCAGCAGCAGTGCCTGGAGGCATCGAATGCAAGAGCTTATCCTACAGCTGGAAAGTTGCTGAAGTCTGTGACATTGCACTGTAAATAAAAGTGTTATTAAAAATAACAAACTGCCCTGTAATGACTTTGATAACTTCCTGTGCAGCAGCTCCTGTAAAAGAGAAGAAAAAAACAGAAGGCAGTTTAGCATATTTAAACAGTAAAATAATGTTATTTATCTRTAAGTCCTACTGGAATTATTTTAGAAATGCCTGATAAATCTCCTAGGAGACAAAAATACCTTTCAGTACTTCCCACTATAAAAGAGGATAAGAAAGCTGCTACTTCAAAAGTTAGCTTTGCATATACTTTCTCTCCATGTACATACACAGAGARTAAAAATATGTGAGCAGACAGACCTGTGCAAGTTGTGACCTCTCTAAATTGAGAAACTGAATTTAAAAAAATCATGTAAAACTAAACTGCAAAATAAACTGAAGGATCACTTCACTGTGATCCCTCTGTGTTTTCCCGTAGTGTAAAACATTCTGTAATTTCTTCAGAAGTTACCTTTATGTATTTTTCTAAAGAATAATACCAAGTTTTGTTTAATCAGAAAAAAATTCCTACATACAGGGTATTTAATACATAATTACCTTCAGTACTGCATGAAGCCAAATAAAGAAGGTAAGTTAACTGATATATCAGTTTTGAGCATCCATTAAGACATATCTGCAGGTTGAATGAAGGTAAGAAACCAAGGCTATTTATACTTCACAGATCTTTAACATAAATGTACTATGTTAAAAGAAAACGTATTCTGCAATTTTAAAATTACTATAATTACCACTTTCCTTAAAAAAAAATTAAGCCTCTTTCAATCATTTAATTTTTAAACACATTTTTAAACTTGAAGAATTGATGTACTGAGACTGGTTTTGAAGTTTATTTGGTTTCTTTTACTGCTTTTAAACCCTTGCTGTGCCCATAGACTCCATATACTATGGGAGGTCGTATCTGGAGAATGAATGGGAGGATGCTGCCCTAATGCCATCCTTGACTACAGCCTGTGATTGCAGCTTTTGCTCTGACAGCCCCACACGATGAAGGCAGCAGAGATTCCACCTCAGCAGGCTGGTGTTTGTGTGGCCCTGAGAAAGGCAGTGTCACCCTTACCTCCCATGAAGGCAGCAACAGCGTGAGGCTCAGCAGCTCCATAGCGACAACTGCACAGGAAAGGAACAGTCAGAAACTCCCAGGCAGTTTTACCAACAAAGCCACACTTTAAATGTAACACTTACAACTCATGAACATAGTCATCTTTCACCACTATAGACAGCCCATGTTCTTGGAGGAAACCAGTAAGGCATGATTTTAGYTTTCCAATATCATCTTCTACCTGGTAGTTGTAGACACCTGGAAAATAAATCATCTGTTTCATCACACAATGTAGMACCACAGCCAAAGCTAATGGGTTTRAATGGCAGCCTAAATACTTAGAAGCTTCTAAGAAAACAAAGCCATTTAATACATAGTAGCAGACTAATAGCAGATTTATAGTAATTGAATRTTCTGTTGATTGTTCTCATTATAACAACAAATTACTGCATAGCTGAACTGATTCATAAGCCACACAACCCATTCCAGTGGTACTAATTCCGATAACCTCAAGTTCCCAAAAAGTAAAGAAKGTGAAAATTAAAGAGACACTTTGTTAAGTTTTATTATGGAAACAAAATCACAACTAACGCTGTATTTGTAGTTTGTAACTAGTGCTATTGGGTTTTTGTATTTCTTTTGATAATGTGAAGTAACATACCTGGGTATCTCCCATGCTGCTTGTAAAACTTATCGACAGCCCTCAGCATCAAGTACAGCACTATTTCACTGTCTGGGTTATCCATATGGGAAACTGAAAACAGCAAGAGAACTGATTAGCTGGTACAGATGAAATGGAAAAAGAAAGGTTTTGAATTCCCTGAAAACAAACTGTAAAATGTGCAGTAGAAAGAAACCTTAATGAGGACAACCTGTGACAGAATCTTAATGACTCAACTGTCAGATCCACAATTTTGCCTCCAAAGTTTATGACAAAAACCATATGTATTCAATATAAACTATTCAGTGGAGAAACTSACATTTAAATTCTGGCAGCTGCTTCAATTTAAATGGGGTATTGCTTAGTAATAATTTTAGGATTTGAAACACATGCTTTAAGTATTTGACTGTAATGACTGTAATTATAAAACAGGTCTTAAATCCCTAACCATGCAGGCTGAGAAGTCTTTGTAAACACTAACTACTACTTATATCCCACTGCATATRCCAACTAATTCAAGGAGCTTTCACTGAAATTATAAGTATTACAAGAAGTATGTATACACAAAACATATACATATTTTGTCCAAAACATTCAGAGGACTTGCATAAGCCTAATTTCAACAAASTTAGACAAAAAAAGTATTTCTAGCTTTTTTTTAAATGTATAAAAAAGGCAATATAAAACACAAAATCAGTATTAAGTAAGTAGTTTGCTAGTTCACATACTAAAGAGGTAAGCTGAAAGTGGTCAAGATAATTATCTTCATTTGGTCAAGTTAAACTACCTTCTAAGCCCTGTCAGAAATAACTGAGGTACAAAAAAGAGAAATTTGAAGAAAACCATATTATATTTAGAGTTCTACAAGTAAAATCTACAAGAAAAAAAATTAGGTGAAACATGCATCAGTCTGTAAGGTCATTTTTGAAATTTCAAAATCAAATTGAATTCAACATTCTAAAGTACTCCGTACTTGTAGTTGATGTCAAGTGATAAAACTGCCTAATGCAATAGAACATGCAGCTTACAGTTCTTTTTCCTTACAAGACCACTGCAAGCTGAAAATGCAGTGAGGTTTGTGCCTAGAAGCAGTACTTACTGATGGCATCCTTGTTGAAGGAGTCGAGGCTGTACTCTTCAGCCAGAGAGCGGCACCGCACCACACGCAGGAAGGCGGCGTTGCTGCCTGAGCACAGGGGCACAAGGAGACATTGCCCAGTCAGTGACACCCTCACTACAGCTCTGTGTGTCTGTCTCACTGCTGTGTGACACGGGAAAGACTAGAACTTAGCAGCGTGGGATTTAACACTTCCCTGTTTCTTCTTAGCTGGCAGTAATAAACATTTTGTATAACTACATATGTAGGTCTATGGTCACAAGTGTTTTAGGGAAATACTTTGTGCTTATGAGAATCKCCATGTACCTGCCAGGTTAATGGGACAGCTACACTGCAGTGGCTCATCAGTCACAGCCACCAAAGTCCTGCTTCCTTCTTCCACACTGCAAATCAACAGCCATCTTCTATACATCTAACACTGCCTCACWTGTTCTCAATCAATATTTAACAACAGAGCCACAGAACCTGGCAAAGGTTCTTCTCCAGTATCATTGCTATGAACTAACCCAGGGTGCAGCCACAACCCAGGACAGAAAAAGGAACAACTGTGGGGTTCCCAAAAGCTTTACCAATGCAGGGGCAGCACGCTCTTGGCTCTGTGCTTACAGGGGACTTTTCCAGCTGCAAGGAGCCTCAGCCAGGCTGCTGCTGGATAGCTGTACATATCCAGAACAGGCTCAGCCTGAAGTGCCATCAGCTGATTTACAGCTTTTCAGACTACCTGAAGTTTAAGTGCCTACACTGTGTAATCAGTASCCTAGCATGGGCAAGCGTGCTCAGGTGCTCATCACAGAAAGCAAAAGGCAACTCTYGGTTGGAGTGAAAAACACATCTTTTACAAGCCAACCTTTACAGACTCACTCCTGAAAGATGCTGAACATCTGCTACTTCTGAAAATRAGGGATGCAAACCACTTAGCATGTACTTGAAAAGTTCAAATATTGACTTACTGCCTAATAACTACAGGATCATTTAACAGTTTTTGATTATTTGATCATTTGCATAATCCCAGCAACAGAACCCAAGCATACTCACAGAACAATTTCAATTCTCTCTCTGAAATAGACTCAGGTGCCTAAAAGAGAGAATATACTCATTCCAATACACATAACGGCCAGAGAATTCCTGGTTTCAGATATATTAATCTATTTATTCTGAAATAACAAGTAACTAATGTACAAAAAAAAAAGTGTCTTAAATTGTAAATAGTATATCCCTGTATGCATTTTACTTTTATATGATCAAACCAAAAGTGATAAATAGAGCAGACACTTTAGAGATACTTCACAGGTACTTTATTCCATTAAAAGAATGGCCATAGGTTTGCACTCACCTTGCCCAGGGACTGTAACAATTTAGCAGCATGGCTACCCACAGCAGCAATATCCTTCTTTGCTTTTTCACGGTATCTGGTAATAATAAAGAAGTCAATAATTTCAGCATAAAACCATCAACTTCATAGTGAAGGCCGTTTTTTGTGTTTGTTTACATTATAAAAGCAGACAGCACCTACACAGGGAGCAGTGTCAGGCTGCTGTGGTTCCCACGCTTGTTTCTTTAAACACTGAAATTTATGCACTTTGTGAGAGCTGAAGTCATCACCATTTACTAYCATTAGTAACTATTAAAGGAAAAAGCTGTCTACTTACACGTTTTGCAGTTTGATGAATTTACTGGAGTCTGCTGTCATATCAGGAATGGTGCCCCGCACAGGCAAGCTTCCTTGCCCTTCGTTTGCCACAAATTCCTTTAAAGCTCGAACTAAAATCCAGAAGGAAGGTGACTACAAATGCACAAGAGACAGTCATGTACACAGATRCTATTTACGATACTTTTTCTACATTTAAGTCTTACCCTTAACTAGTCATACCTGCTCTGTGAGTTTCAGGCAGCAATCATCATTAAAAAGCTCTTCAATGCCCCTTGGAATCTATGAAAAGAAATAAATTTGGTTTGTAATTACCTGACTTGATTTCTTTAATTATCTCAACACCCATGACACAGGTGAGCCAACTCCAACTGACCTCAGAGTTCCTACCAAAATCTCCTCTGAATCCTATACAGTCAGTGGTTCTCAGACACATTTCAAACAGTAGCCCTGCCCAAGAACAAGGCAATGCTGAGCAAGATCAGTGTTACAAAATCTCACCTRATTTCCATCTTTGACAGAGAAGATTTAAAAGAAATTGTAGCAACAACCGCCCCAACTGCTCACCCTGCCTTAGGGGGGCAGAGCAGCAAAAAGGCCAGGGAAGGGGAATGGAGCTACAAAAGTTAAGTGTTTTGACTCCTTAACTGCTGCAGGGCACTCTGGCACATAAACACAAATAAATATTAATATCCYGGGCCATGTCTTGTAGTGGCCTGGCTGACAGCACTAGGTTTTACCTGCTGYCTTCCTGGGAGGCTTAATATGACTGTCCAAGCAAGGATCAGCACAGAAACACAAACACATCAAAACAATAGAATGCAATCTAGAAAGAAACACAGGATGTGCTTTTGCCCCATGCAGCCTTTGCAGTTTATCACAGATGAGAAACTAAGGAAATCAGAGCTCAGTTCTAAACCATGAATTACTATGCCATGATTTTTTTAAAAACACTTCCAATGCTTTTAAGCTTGATCAGTTTATGAAGGCAATTAAGCAGTAAGTTTCTTCAAGAGGAAAGAAGTGAATTTGTTGTGTCAGGAGTCCCTTGCAGCCCTTAATTTCTACACAGAACAAACACTACGACYCTCAGCTTCAAGACAGCACAATTTGAGAAAATACTCTCTGTCTATCTCTCTCCCTGCAGTGTCTTCACATCAGCACCAGCCACACCAGTCACTGCTAATCCTTACAATTGTACCCAGCACTTCACAGAGGTTTTTACAAACTAAACTGGAGAAATCTGAGACAATAACTCACTGCTGATACACTCTGGTTGCTGACTCATTCTAGAGTTGAATTCAGGCTCTTCAGGAGGGMAATGAAGCTTTCTTGCAAGAGCAAAGGAGTAAGAGAATTTCCATAAGCTCCACTGCAAGCTAGTCTAGGTCTATTTAACATGATTTCAKTTCTAAACATTGTACTAATACTGTTTTAGCTAAAAACAAATGTTACAAATAGAATTTCTGTTGTAAAAGTGTTTGATATGTTCTGAGAAAACAAGGCAGTTGAAATTGCCTCCATTTTATCACAGAAATGTTGATTTTACCTCTGTACGATTTAATGCTGTGTTCACATTTTTTATAGCTTCTTCAAAGTTTTCCTCATCTTCTGGGGTCCCATTTTCATTCTTTAAGATACCTTATTGAAAAAAAATTAAAATACGCAACTGCTTGAATTACATCTCATCATTTAGCTCTTACCAACAGAGCAGACTGGTTTTCCATATATTTGTGGCATAACAGCTACCAGCAAAAAAATAGAAAAAGAAATCACAAGAAAAAAATCCCAGATGTAATTATAAAGCTAATTGCATTTAAATTCTGCASAGGATTCATTTTCCTGTGATGTTAAGTAGAAGTCACTTAGCACAAAAACATCTGTTTATTTGTGTGAGAAAGAGATAATGAAGTTTCATAAGCACTAAATTAACAATTCAACTCTCCTTCCCATCCCAGTCATGTTTTGCTGGTTTTTTTTTTGTTTTTTTTGTTTGATTTTTTTTTTTTTTTTTTTTTTTTTTTTTTTTTTTTTTTTTTTGATTTTTTTTTTTTTGGTTTTTTTTTTTAATAAAATTTGGCAAATGCTTATGCATCCACAGAGTAAGCCAGCCCAAGAAAGGGCCTCCACTAAAAATGGGAATTACTACAGATCAGTTCCCTACCACAGACTGGGGACAAGGGTGACAGAAGCACTCTTAATCAGCACACAGGCCTTGAAGTGAGGAAATACCAAAAATTCAGTTAATGGTGTTTTTCTATAATCATTTAAGACAATGTATTTACAGATCTTAAAAACGCCAGATGAATTTTAGTATCCTCAAAAGGTACTGGACTGAAACACTGGCACAAATGAAGCATTCACACACTGGTTACAGTGCACTCAGTGCTACAGAACCTCTCTCTCCCGGGATTTCAGAGATGAATGATTGCCAAGTGTCTGCTGCATCAATGGACACACCAAATACTTGCAGCTAATAACAATCTCAGTGTCAAAAGGCACTTGCTTTCCTCTTCATCATGTCTTCAACAGGATTTGCTCTTAAGGCCTTTCCTCCCACCCAAATCAAAACATACTCTGGATCTTAGACAGGATGAAACACTGACAATACACATTTAKAAGCAAGTTTGGGATCTTAAGATCCACATCTACAAAAAAATCATTTAGCGGAAGAATCATACAGTATATACCAGCAGTTTAATTTTCATAAATTAAACCAGAGAGAACTTGTGAYAACTTTTCAGATATCACCTTGTATCTATTTCTGCCAGTACAAATAAGGGACTCCTGGGACATGGGATTACCTTGCTGAATCAGTTGTTTGAAGGCTTCTTTCTCTTTGTAACTCTTGGGCAACTGATCACTTTTCTAAATTAAAAAAACACAGTAAGATTTTGTCTTTAAAATACTTACTATAACTGCATTATGTTCAGACTGCTGAACTCCAGGAGTCTGTCACTGCTCACACACATTCACTATTAATTTAAATTAATAATCTTTTTTTTTTATGATTCCACCTGGTTTTCTTTATGCTACACACTGCCAAAATCATTAACTAGTTTAGAAAACATATCAATACTACTATTACTACTACTAGTTTTGCAACATACCTCATTGAACCATTTTGTTATATACTTGGCTACAATCACAATCCATGGAGTGTGGCTGTGGTCCTGTAATTGAAGAGCAGAGAAATCTCTGTCAGGTTGAAAAAAGGTGAAAATCAGGACTTAAAAACCTATTTAAAATGTAAACTACTACCATCCCTTCCCCTATTCTAAAGACACATGACATGTTCCAGATTTTGATTCAGCCATAACATTCACTAATCRTTATAAAAGAAATTACCAAATTATTATTGCTTTCTTTAAAAAAGGGTGAGCCAWGTTCTCCAGTATTTTTCTGGAGTGGAACTTATCCTATGCAAAAACACTCACAGTGCAAGGCTCTGCAGCAGTAGGTAACCATAAAAATTCAAAAATTCAAAAAGAGAGTATGAGGGGATATTCAATCTAACAAAAGATCAAGCTATCCAAGAATATTCCTTGCTTCCCAAGACCCCCACCTGCTTAAGACTTAAATAGACTGGAACAYTTGGGGCAGAGGCAAAAATAGCTCCTTGTGACTGATTCTAGAGTTGCTTCTGTTMAGATGAGACTTGGCACCAGAGTCATTTGCCAAGACCCATTTTCACAGAATCCGTGTGCTGTGTTTGTATTTGTCCTGGGGAACACTGCAAACCATACACCAACCTTTTTGTCCATATGATCCAAGTCATAATCCTGAATGTGTTCTGTSAGTTCTGGAAATGGTTTGTCCAGTCTCAGATCTTCTAACATGTTGTCAGGGTGAGATTCAACAACTGTGAAAAATGACACAATGTATTTCCCAGCTTTATGTCTGGCCTTCAAAACAGAGCCACACAAACACAGCATGACCTGCTCCTTTCACTGCCTGGTTCTCAATGTAAGTGTTCTGTGTAAATCAATCAGAACATCAAGATAATCCCAAATTTTATTATTTGTTGCAGTCCATAATCTCTGTGCATTCCTCAAATAATGCAAACTACCCAAGACTTAAAAAATACTAAATATATCATGAGATGAAAAAAAACAAACACCTCCAAAGTGATATGAGTTATTGAAACCTTAAACCTTATAGAGAAGACTTTATCTCAGAAAACCCTCTAACCTGTATGTTCCTTAATAATGACTCTCATATAACCAACCAGGCCATAAGTCCTGCAGACCAGCAGAGGAATGTTGGAATTCCAGAGAACTTCAGCCAGACGCAGTAACGTACTGTAAGGAAAAACATTGTTTTTTCAGATATATAGAGGACAACAGTTGACTATAAAGCTAACTCCTACACCAGTTACTTGTGAAAGAGTTCTCTAATATTGTCATGATCCTAAGCACATAAGGTGATTCATTTCACYCACACAGGAATTTACAGTGAGTTGGAAAAATGTTCATCCATTATCTTACTTATGCCTCATTCCATCCTCCCAAATGCTCCAAATATCAAACAAAAAGCTTTGATGAGTTGTGAAAGAGAAAAAACGAGAATTAGATCCATGTTTTGAATAACCATAACTTCCAGCAGAGGCAGCTCCAATCAGTGGTACAAAAAGGTCTCTTGAAAATGGCATCACTTGCTCTAAGTTTCCTTCACAATGACATAGTTCTGGTCTGCTGAAGTTTTTCTGCAAGTAAGTGCCTGTAGATGAAACCTGCTTTTATAACTGAGCAGAAACAAACAATTTTAGATGATTCTTTACCTTTCTGGTAGTTGTGTTGCAACCACTAAGTTAAACCAATTAAAAAAGGAAGGGTCGTTGTCTAAAAGCTTTTCAGGACTCTAAAACAGGAGGAAAAAAATGTATATCAGTGAACACTGAAAATTTCTGAGTACAGAGCARRTTTGTTCAATGTTGAATATAAGRAGTTAAGTGAAAGTTATAAATTTARGATGAAGTTACAAAATAATGTTTGAAATACATTAAATTGCCTTTTGCAAATAACTTAAGATCATGTTCCTCAAATGCTGTTTTATCCTGAACCTCTAATTTAAACTGCAAGATTACAAAGCAGCACAGAGCTGTTATTTCATACTTTGGTCACACTCCATAGCACACACACAGTAGTAATTCTGGAAGACCAACCTCTTCAACGAAGTTTCCAGAAACATCACTGTTYAATTCCTGCAGCAGCTCCATGGCACTCTGGGCACGATTCTGTTTCAGAGCAATCAAAATGAAATGTTTATACAATGTATCAGTACTACATAATGCCACATGCCAACAATGCCAAATAAAACAACCTCAGAAAACACCCCAYAACAAAATTCACCATAAGTTGGGGCCTCTTATTCCAACCCTTGCTCATCTGAATCAAAAACTGATCCCATAACAGCAGGCACTTAGTATGAGAGCATTTAAAAAAACACAACTTATGTAACAGCTATTTCCTSATTTCCAGTTTTATTACAGAATTTYCAGGAGTCATCTATGCCTCTTATACTCCCCATTTTCATGATATTWTTTTCCCTATTCACCTCTCTACTCTTAGCTTTACTCCTTTTACCACAATGGTCTTCTACCTTATCCTTCCAAAGAYTTTAACCATTAGCTTTTAATTTTTTTCTATTTAATCTTGCCACAATTGAGTTTATCTTCTCACTTATGAGCAATTAAAAAGTAAACATGGGGAATTCTGTCAAAGAATAAACAGACTTTAACCTATACATGTTTGTTTTTATCCATACTACCACATTTTAATACTCAGCATTTCCATGCTTTCAATACATGTAAACTGAATTTATTATGTCCTTACCTGACCAATATGGCTTTTTTGTAGAAAGAAACTGAAAAGGAGACAAGAGAGAATTAGATGTGAACTTTTATTCTGAAGAAAAAATGGCATTAAAATTACATTGTGTACTGCAGAATACATTTCTGACWCTCATACACAACAAGGCACACTCCCTCTTAAATCCGCTTTTTCCCTGTTGTATTTTCCTCAAAAACAGTTTCTTAAGAAAGCTTTTCAATGCCAAAACCATAAATTTGAAATATAAGGCATGCCAAACTCCTCCAGAAGACAGGATCATGCTGCAGGTTCTTTCTCACCAGATAAATTAAAGATTCACTAGCACTACAATGGAATATCCTTCCCCCTCGCATAACCCCTCTAGGTATCTATGCACATCATAAGACAACTGGATCAGCAATTAGTAAGCAAATTATTTTTACAGGATTTGCAAACAGTTTATTATCCCTTCCCCTGCTGCACAGAGCCTCTCAAAGCTATGGAAGCTCATAAATGTCTAGCAGTCACAGCTGCACAATGACTAATAAGAATCAGGTCATCTCCATCACCAAAAATGAGGGAAAATATACTGAGCTACACTGAAACCCATGTGAGCCTTGCACTGTCATAGCTCAAGACTACAACAAACAAGTTGATTTTAAATATTTTTATACTGAGTAGAGCATTGGCCTTATAAACTTGATGTGTGAAGCAAACAGAGCTGTAAGGTGCGAACACAGCAAGTAGAATAATTCAACAGCTAACATCAAAATGACTGTACATGCTGTCAGTCACCAACACCCAAACCCACAGACAACTTGAAGAAACACAGAGAGGATCTTACAAGAATTTTACAGGACTTCTTAACAAATMTAGAGATGGAACAACCTATGAAAGTCTGTCACTTGTCAATTTGTAACTGAAATCAGAAAAAACCTACTTATTTCCAACATCTTCTCCAGTGACTTGATTCCCATCGACAATTGTAAAAGAACCAATACCTTGGGGGGAAAAAAAACTCCTATGAATAACTTGCCATGATCAAGTTATCAGATATATTTCAAAGAACAGACAGATGAAATCTCTACTTACCTGGCAGCACCAAGTTTTTGAGTATTTCTGTTCCTGTTGCTGTTGCATTTATCAAACAAACATGGGCAGATTCCAATGCTTCTTGGCCATGGTCACCCCACAGTCTGCATTGAGAAGGAAACCAAAACATAATGAAGTTTTTTAACTTCAGATTGAAAAGCCAATATAAACAACAAAAAAAACCCCAAGCCAACCAGAGAGCTGGTGTGCTACTGTCTATTCACTGCTGAGGGCCTAAACACCACTAACCAAAACAAGCATCCTTAAGAAAACTTACTGTGAGAACTCTGAGACTTTCCAAAGAGCAACCCAGTTTCCCTGACATTTCATTTTCTTCAACTTGACAAAATGAATGCACACACCTCTTTTTGCTGTAGCATATTTAACTCTTTAAAAAYCAGCATGGGTTAAAACAATCATCACCCAAATTTTGTCCTAATGCTGAATGCTCTGTTTTTCCTAACTTTTATTACAAATAATAGAATTATATATGTATATATTCATAGCTTTTTATAATTTCTCATTCAAGATGTGCAGGAGACAGAAATCAGTCTTGCTGAGTGTGGTATTTCAAACCCTTAGAAAACAGCACTGAGGCTGGGATGTGGCTGGGACAGTTCCCAGTCACACATCCTGCTGATTTCACGGGGGTGGTAACTCACAGAAGCACAGAAGAGCTGAGGGTGGAGGGGACCTCCAGAGGTCCTCCAGTACAACCCCTGCTCAGACAGGGTCACCTGGAGCAGGTGAGTGTGTGCAGGTGTGTTTGGAATGTCCCAGAGAGGGAAAYTCCACACCCTCCCTGGGCATCTGCTCAATGTTCTGCCCCCTCCAGGGAAAGAAGTTCTTCCTCATGTCGAGATTAAACTTTTCGTGGTTTAGTTTATGGTCAKTGCTCCTCCTCCTTTCACTGGGCACCACCCAAAAGAATCTGGCACCATCCTGTGACACCCACTTTTGAGATACTTCTATGCCTTGATGAGACTCWTCTCTGGGCTAACCAGGTCCAACTCCCAGCCTCTCCTCACCACAGAGATGCTCCAGACCCCAGTTCCTCTCTGTGCCCTCTGCAGGACCCTCTCCAGCCCTTYCCTGTRCTGAGGAGCCCRGGACTCTGCACTCCTGAGCTGCACAAAGCTACAGAGGGAACAGCACGAGAAGAGACAGCACACTGGAATCATCACTGCTGAGCCCTTCCCTCACATGTACCAATGTGTGAAAACCAACCATCCACACTAGAGACAGACACCCCTGACTCCAGTGCCAGCCACCCTTCCACGGTAAGCTGGATCTTTTCCACCYTTTCACAGAATCCCAGGATGGGCCAGGCTGGAAGAGTCCACAGGGGCACACCTGGTGTCACCTCCCTGCCCCAGCAGGGCCATCCCAGAGCACAGGGCACAGCAGTGTGTCCATGTGGCTCTGGAACAGCCCCAGGGAGGAGACTGCCCAGCCTCTCCGGACAATGTGGGCAGGGCTGGGCACTGYCCAGGGCACAAGTTGTGCCTCCTGTGCAGGGGGAGCTCCCTGGGCTCGGTCCCTGCCCGTCCCTCGGGTGCCATCGCTGGGTCCCCGGAGCAGAGACCGGGGACACCTTCTTCCTGGCACCCCCTTTAGATATTTATATATACACAGACAAAAGCACATAATATAAAAACATTGAATATACAGTATAGTATACATCGTAGAAATGTAAATAAATTACATATGTAATATGTATATAAGTACGTATTATATAGATATGGATGTATCTATCTATAACCCCTTTTATATATTCCTGTGTGCCCTCACGGCTCCTCCCGGGAGCGCGGTGCGCGGTTCACATAGAGCCTCCTGCCCGCCACGGCTCCACCGGGCCGGGGCCTCTTCCCGGCGCGGCGCCGAGCGGGCCCGTGTCCGTGTCCGTGTCCGTCAGGGGCAGCCGGAGCCGCGGCCCCGCTGCTCGCTCAGCGCCGGGCAGCAGCGGGCAGCTCGGGCGGTGCTGGCCCGTCTCGCCCGCGGTACCTGAGCTGGCGGTCGTAGCGCTGCTCCTTGAGGCCGCCCCGGCCCGGCCGCGCCATGGCCACTGCTCCCACCGCGCACGCGCGGGGCGGGGCCGGAGC